CGCCCCTTGGACAGTGTCAGTATAGTACAGCAGTAAGAAGGGGCCAAGGAGAAGCGGTAGAAATGCTGCAGAAAGAGTCAGGAACCCAGAGGAGGGGGCAAAGGAGGTGAGGGGGTGGGGGCAGAAAGTGGAGACGAAAGTAGACAACAGAACATTGCTAGAGAGCAGGAAAGAAGGTGAAAGGAGACAATTTTTTGAGAAATTTTTTTTGGGACACTACCCGGATTCGAACCCGCGACCTTTGATTGAGAGGCGAACACTTTAACTTCTGGTCCACGAGAGCCCCTCGACACTGTCTATAACGGTCATGCTTAGACAGGTTGGCATCATACACATGTCATTAACCCTATACATACAACGTGGGGAACTCTGTGCCACCACTTAACCCTATCTGTACGTCGTGTTTTACTGTAGTATCCATACGACATGGGGAACTCTGTTCCACCACTTTCCAAAGAGGAAATTTACCCGTTAATCCGATCCGTACGCTTTGCCTAGCAGTCTGTCAAAATGATCTTTTTTAGAAATACTGAAAGTTTCAAAGATATCTTCGTACTAGAAGTATTCTAAAGTGTGAAGAATACAACCAAGGGGGTACAAAATGACCCCAGGGCGTACGGATAAGGTTAAGCTGTTAAAAATAACAAAATATCAAATTATAAACTGCCAAACAATCAAAGAAACAACGAAACCAAAACAGAGAAAACACACAGAGGGATGGCGCTCATATGAACTAAAACAATTGCGAGCGCCGTAAAACCTTACTTCATCATCATCATCCAGTGCCAGGTCTGCGTCAGACATCGGCGATCATGGTTCTCCATTCATTCCTTTGCTCGGATGCTCTCAAAAAAGCTACATTTCCCTGATCTTTCCCTGTTACCCATTTGTTTAGGTTCCCTAAGTATGTTGTTCTGGGCCTTCCCCTGCCTCGCTTGCCCTCAATTTTGCCGGTAAGAGTTAGATGTTCAAGACCTGTATGTCTGTTTATGTGTCCTATAAACCTTACTTACCAAAACTAAACTAGCCAAAAGGGAAATGCTGAGATTCCGTTTGTACCGGTGTTTGTCTTCTGCAGGTGTCTGTAAGAGCAGGTTCGAATGTATCAGTATAGGGAAACACACACACACACACACACACACACACACACACACACACACACACACACACACCCACACACACACACTCACAAAAGGGGAGGGGGGACGGGAAGGAAGTGAGTTGGGGTGTTTTTTGTACAGATGTTTGTCTTATACAGATGGCCGTCAGAGCATGTTCGACTGTCATCATCATCCGGTGCCTTGCCGACTTGCGTGGGCGATCATGGACCTCCACTTCACTCTGTCTTGCGTTGCAGCAATGGTCTCTGTTGTTCTTGCTGCTCATAGCCATGTTGTCAACTTGTCCAGTATCTTTTCCTTCTGTCTGCCTCTGCCTCTCTTTCCATCAAACTCGCCTGTCGTTACAATTTTCTCCAATTTTTCGACTATACGAACTAGGAAAAAAACTCCAGAAGGGGCATGGGAAAAGGGGGGGTGGAGCTGGAAAGTGCAATTTGTACAGGACGTGATTGTCATGGACAGGTGGCCGTTAGATCAGGTCTGTCGGTTCTTTTACCACCTGTCAAACAGTTTTTGTACATTTCCTTCTTCGTGTCTTCCCCCAGAGCCATCCCCACATCCTCCCCGACGTCCTTCCTCACATCCTCTACCACCTCCCTCCTCACGGCCCACCCCACACCCTCTCTTACTCTTACATCCCTCCATACCCTTCCTTACTCTCATCCTCCATCACACCCCCACCACACCCCCACCACGGCCATCTAACTCCCCGACTTCCCACGCCCCCCCCCCCCACCTTACCCCATCCCCCCATCTCTCATCCCCACCCCCACCCCCACCCCCACTCAAACACTCTTTCCTCCACCCTCCACCCCCCACATCTAACTCCTGTGAAAACATGAAAAGACCTTGCCTTATATACCGAAAAATAATTTTCAACGTTTCAAATTCCAGCTGTTGATATACTGTTTTCTTCATAACGTAGTTTTTCGTTTATATAAGTTGTTGTTTTTTACGGCATTTGCCGCACAATTAGGTCACATGCGCGCCAAACAACAGATGTATTACCAGGGAGTGCCATACATAGAATTGAGGGCAGAGAGATAAGGACAATCGAATATAGTTATGTTAGATTGGAAAAAAGGAGGAGAGATAAGGACAATAGAATATAGTTATGTTAGATTGGAAAGAAGGAGGAGAGATAAGGACAATCGAATATAGTTATGTTAGATTGGAAAAAAGGAGGAGAGATAAGGACAAGAGAATGTCACATATTTGATAGGAAAGAAGGAGGAGATATATGGTAATATAATAATTATGTTTGTTTGGAAAGAAGGAGGAGAGATAAGGACAAGATAATTTTGTTTGTTTGATTGAAAAGAAGGAGGAGAGATAAGGGCAAGATTATGTTTTTTGTTTGATTGGAAAGAAGGAGGAGAGATAAGGGCAAGATAATTTTTTGTTTGATTGGAAAGAAGGAGGAGAGATAAAGACAAGATAATGTTTTTGTTTGATTGGAAAGAAGGAGGAGAGATAACGAAAATATAATTTATATGTTCGATTGGAAAGAAGGAGGAGAGATAAGAAAAACAAAGTATTTGATTAGAAAGAAAGAGGACAGATGAGGTTAGTAGAACAATTATATTTGATAGGAAAGAATTAGGAGTGATAAGGCAATATAATAATTATGTTTGATAGGAAAGAAGGAGGAGAGATAAGGGCAAATAGAGAGAGATAGCGAAAATAGAATTTCTATGTTGATTGGAAAGAAGGAGAAGAGATAAGGACAGCATAATTTTTGTGTTTGATAGGAAAGAAGGAGGAGAGACAAGGGTAGTCTAGAATAATAATATGTTTGAGATGAAAAAAACACCAAACCAAACCAGAGCACCCTCCACCCATCCATTTTTCTCTAATGTAGCCACACAGATTACAGAACGTGAATGTGATAGCTGGAATCTGGGGTTTTGGAGGGTTTTGGTAATTTGCGGTAAATACAATAAAATTTACTAAACTTTCTCTATTTGGCTATGTGGCTTAAATAATATGTTTCTCTCTCTCTCTCTCTCTCTCTCTCTCTCTCTCTCTCTCTCTCTCTCTCTCTCTGTCTCTCTCTCTCTCTCTCTCTCTCTCTCTCTCTCTCTCTCTCTCTATCTATCTCTCTCTCTCTATTTATCTATCTATCTATCTATCTATCTATCTATCTATCTATCTATCTATCTATCTATCTATCTATCTATCTATCTATCCCCCTCTCTCTCTTCCTCTCTATATCTATCTATCTATCTATCTATCTATCTATCTATCTATCTATCTATCTATCTATCTATCTACCACATCTCTCTTTCCACCTCTCTCTCTCTTTCTCTCTCTCTCTCTCTCTCTCTCTCTCTCTCTCTCTCTCTCTCTCTCTCTCTCTCTCTCTCTCTCTTTAGGGCACAAGGAGTTATTGGCACCAACCACATAATCATTTTTAATATACGAGTGTAAGGAGGGGGGGAGGGGGACTCCTATTGTTAATGGTAAAATTAACGAGAAAATAGCTGTCAAAGTTCGGCGATTTCCAAAGCTTCAGTGTCAACGAAGAGAGCTAGGCAAATAGACTTGACGCCTTTTTCTCCCGTTTTGACAAAGTCAGTTCGTGTGACTTGCCATGTGTGAACACCGACACAAATGAAAATAATGCTGTTGTTGTTGTTGAAGAACGGGAGGTTAGATGTGTGTTTGGAGTGTGTATCTAGCTTACGATTATTTTTGTTGATATTGATGCTCATTTATATTATGCATGTGATTGTAAGCTTACGTGTGTGTGTGTGTGTGTGTATGTGTGTGTGTGTGTGTGTGTGTGTGTGTGTGTGTGTGTGTGTGTGTGTGTACACCTGGTGAAACACCAAACCAATGTGCCAGGATCTGGACAATAAAGATGTATCTTATCCTTGGAAACTGCAGATTTACAAGTTGTTGTATTTCTTTGATTAAATTCTTTATATTTAGTAAAATCCACCAAGAAATTAAATGTGTTTTTAAATGGATATAAAAGGGGATGAGCAAAAGAAAACAAATTGGTAAAGATTGCCAAACGGGCAGAAAAATGTCTGTTTCTTTGATATCTTGATTTAACGAAAGTCTGATTTCCCAACGATGCCATACACATTGATAACTTTTTACTTTTTTATTCTCCAGATTTGATCTCACCGGAAGGAAGGAAAAAGGAGAAACCTTAGCTTCACTGGACTAGAACCAATGACGACTGGCTTCTGATCTTCAAACTTGACCAATGCTCCACTTTGGGATTTGACTCGCGTAATATTGGTGCAGTGGAGTGCTGTCTATTTACTGAACGGTCCTTTATCAAACCTATATCCGATTGGGTTGGCTGGTTTTAGTATCAGTGTTCGCTATACGATCAAGACTATAATCTCCAAACCTCATGGTTGCGCTGTTCCGATGTGCCTTTTTGAAAGTTTCATAATAAACCACATCATCTGATCTGATTGTGAATCCGGAGCTGAGTAGCTTCTCGGTTGTTTTGTTGGAAAACCGCGAGACGTGAAATCTACCAAACGTTCTCCGGCTGATGCAGAATCAGTACAGAGGGGACTTTTTTCTTTTAAAGCCTGTGTTGTGATTTTTAAAATCATTATTATCAGTATTTTATTATAGGGAGGACTTTCTTCTTTTTAAGTCTTTGTTTGTGTTTTTAAAATAATCATTATCATTATTTAATTATTTTTCACTGAGGAGTTCAAATCGTTACAGTGAGAACTTTCTTCTTTTTAAGCCTGTCTAGTGTTTTTTAAAATCATCATTATCATTATCTAATTATATTTCATTGAGGAGTTCGGCAAGGAAACTTTTGTTTCGCTCTACCATAAACTCTTTGTGAAAGTCATTTGTGGTATGGTCACAACGACTGAGCTGCTCCAATCACAAGCGACCATGTTCGGGTTTTCTCCTCTGTCGAGGAGTTTGGGCGAAGGTCAAGGACTCGCAGGGGTCAGTGTGGTGTCCCATCCGGAGGACCTGATGACGTCATCACAGCGGATCCTGGACGCCAACCAGCGGATGAACGGCCTGAACTATCACTCCATCGATGGGATACTGGGGCACGCTCGACTCGGACAGGGCTCTTTGAAAGGTTAGCTGGTCTTCTTCAGCATTTTGAGATCTTAAAGAAAACAAAATATAAAACAGCTAAATTACCTAACCAAAAAGAAAACCCCACCCCCAAAAAACTCACAACAATCAAACGAATAAATAAAAAAACCCAAAACAACAACAACAACAAAAACTACATAATGTTGTATTTTAAGCACGTCTTAAAAACATTAAGATAAGTTTTACGACACTTTCAACAAAGATAATATTTCAAATAAGTGCCAAAGATTGGAGTTGTTGCTAAAGAATGATATACGAGAAGAGAGAGGAGGAGGATTGGGGGGGGGGGGGGGA